AGGCTTGTCGAACTTGGACACCAATCAAGCTGATTGTTGCTCTGGAAAGCTTTTCTTGCATGGCTGGCCAGCCATTCCTACTAAGACTAATGACAGCTTTAGTCAGAGAGGTTCCATCCGAAATGTTCGAAGCGGAGTTCGAGGCAGAAGGTACTCCAGTTGATAAGTGCGCGGCTTTCCAGAGTTTGGGAGATGACGAACGCAAGATGGTACTGTCTGCCCTCAGCCTGGCGGACGGCAGCCTTGTACCAACATGGATGCCAGCAAGCTGGCAATGGATGCATGTGTTCGTGTCCAGAAAGCGCCTGCAGCACTACTTGTCCCTGGATAATCAGTACCCTTACGAATACAGCCCTAACTTTGGGCGTTCTTGCCGGGCTGGATGCTCACGTGGCAGGGGCAATCATTTTCAGTTTTGCAAGGCAAATTTTGCATACAGCCCTGCTACACTTCTATTCAACGCGAGCAGTCGGCAACAGGCAATGATGATCCGGGCATTGGCTGACTGCAGAACGCACAGCCACGTATTGACAAGCACGCTCGGACAAAGCATCTTGATGCGGGCATGGATCCTGGAGAACAGCGGTTTCTTTCTTGATCTAGCAGCAGACATCATGATTCTGTTTGGCCTCATGTTTGCCAGTGCGTCTTTGCGGCACTACATGTATCCGTCTGAGACAAGCTTGTTGTTCCTGTGTCTGCTGGGTGGAAGATCTTGTCTTCATTCCTTGGTCATTGCCTGGCAACACTCGCAGCTTTTCCGGGGAATGGATGTGTACACAAGCTGCCTATGGAAGCTTCAGAAATTTGCGAACACGCAGAACCTTCTCGTCATGGTCCTGCAGATCTACAGTTGCTGCGTTCTGGGATGGGCTCTGGTCATGGTTCTGGATCACGGGCAAAAAGGTTGCAATGGACAGCGCCATGCCAAGTCATGCCATTTGTTTGAATACATTAACCTGGTTTCATTCATGATATTCTTTCGGTGGCTGACGTTCATGCACAATTGTTTGGGCATCAGAGTTGTTGGTGAAAATGTGCTCCCAGCTTTCCATGCTGTGAGCCAGCCGGAAGCTCTGTACTTTCTCGTGTTTTTGGGCTTAATTGTCCTTGGATCCTTCCACGCCTACTATGCCTTCCCGACAGAAGGGGAACAAACCGAGCTTCGTGGACATGCTGCCTGGCATGAAGTGCTCTCGGGTTTCTTGCGCATCTTCCGATTGGAGGTCCTCGCTGATTTCGACATGAACGAATTGGAGGGCCGCGGTGAGTACCTGAATGCCTCAGTTAGTCAATCTACGTGGTCCGCGTCGCTTGAAGACGAGCGCCCGAAGCCTTTTCACGAAGGTTTGCGCTACATGTTCTTGCTTCTCAGCTTGGTTGTAAACGTCATAATGATGAACGTGTACATCGGGCTACTGAGCAGCTTGTATGATGCAGCCAAGCTCGAAAGAAGACAAATCTATTTCCAGTTTCTGGCCAACCAGGCATATCGATATGTGTTGCTGCGAAGCTTTTGGGAAGAGTCATTGTGTCAAGCGCGAGACTCAGGCAGTCGACAGAAACTAGACACGGTTCTCCTGGAGGAACACCATGATGATGACGATGATGAAGATGAGGATGAGGATGACGCTTTGGCCTGGTTTGTCTTCGAGCAGCATCGCGTGCGTGAGGATGCCTAAAAAAAGCAAGCTGTGCTGTGAATTTCCCCTTTTCCGTGATGTTTTCTGTGTCTTTGGGGGTCTGAACGGATGGCAGAGGGGGCTAGATGCCTGGAACCATTTGACAAGCAGGCCAGAGGCCGAGGCAGGTAAAATCTGAGTGGCTGCAGCTTTTCCGGGACATGAGTGTTCACTGTTGGTCGCAAGTTTCTCCGTGGATCTACTTAAAGGTCGCTCAGAAAGTTGATTAGCTGCTATCCACCATGTGCAACTTCACGGAGCGGCCATTTTCTGCAATACTGATAATCATAGCATGTAGCGAGACTTATGGTGAGAAGGAAGTGAGCAGGTTTCTCAGCCAGAAGAGTCCAGCGCAAGAAAGTGAAGATACACCGCCTTGACTTGCAGATGGTAGTATGTCATTTTCTTCAAGCACAGCTCTTGTGGCAAGGAGAAGCAGTATCTCCATCTGATGTTGGACACAGGCGCAGAATGAGCCTTGATATCAGATGCGAATTCATGTTCTACCGCCTCTGAAACATGTTGGAAGTCTGTAATCAAAAGCAGAATGGTTGGAGAATTCAAAGCTGAGCCTGATGCGCTCCATCTTGAATGCCGTTGGATCACGAATTCCCACTAGCAAGGCTTAGAAGCAGAAGTTGCCCACATGTATCGGCACGTCTTCTGTTGCAGGCCGGGAGCTGCTGGCTTCTGTGTATTATCTGCCAGCGACTTTGTGTGTCCAGCAAGGGAGTTGTCTTGTCATGCCTTTGGGAAGCCATTATGCCTTCCAGACATTTTGGGCACATCACTTCCAGATGGAAGAAAGGGTGCTGCTGGTGGATGTCGTAAGGTATCGCACTTCAAACTTTCAGTTTTGGCGGCCCGACGCGCATCCACACGCTGTCCGCTAGATAGCGTTCACCCAAAGTGAAGAAACCGTGCCTGGACAGAGTTCACAAATCATCCAAATCGAAGTGTGCGTCACTCAGAAAAATCTAAGCGAACAAAAACAAGATGGAACTCCTGGCTCTCCTGGCGATGCACTTTGGAGGCGTAGAGCCCAAAGACGGATAGACGAGAACAAGTGTTTTTATGCCTTCGGGGCTTCTTCGTATCGCAGATGCGCTGGACTTGTCACTTGTCACAACCAGAGACCGAGTGCCAGAAGTCTGTTTCGCCCTAGTTTTGGCATCGTGCTTTGCTCACTAGGAACATGATGGCAGTCAGAAACCAGGGCCAAGGTGTTTAACACTTGAGCTCACACCTGAACCCCCGAAAACTGGCGCTGAAACTCAGACAACTCCACAATACAGGCACGCTTCCGCTGCACCATCTTGTTTGGGGCTTCTTAGGGTTTAGAGTTGGGTTTCCTCATGTATTTGGGATGCTTCAGGGATAAGGCCTTGGGGCTCTAGAGGGTTTATTGGGGTTCTCCTTCTTTTTTTTTTCTGGTTCTTTTGGGTGCAGGGTTTAGATGGGCTTAGGGTTTTTGAGTTTCAGGGTTGGGGTTTTTATCCTGGGGGTTTTGTCAGGTATGGGACTCTTGAGGCCTCTAAGGTATGGGATTCTTTAGGGATTCGGCCTTGACTCATTCAGAAACCCCCAGACAAGCGACTATGCTTCACGTCTTGATCTTCTTGACCATTTTGAGGGCGCAACGACGCCCTGGCTTATCAAGCAGACGTTGCATCATGCACCGCCAGCCCGTCGTTATCAATGCCAGCCTCCTGGCATATGCACCAACATTCAACATTCTGACGAACATGCGTTCGCAAGCTTGCCGTGGAATGGAACTCCATCAAGCACGCAGCAAAAGCGGTTCCTTCGGTAGCGCACGCTATGCCTACGCTGGGGTGTAGTGTGATGCTCTGGCAGCTTTAGTGTCAAACACTTTGCCAAAGGCCTCGCACAGGTATCCTTGGCGTCGTTTTGCGATCAACCTTTTGCAGATGGCAACTCCCTCAGCCTGACCCTCCTTTGCCCTTTCAAGACACTGACGCTGTTCGGATTCACGGTCTTTCAGAGCGCTGGGCCTGAAAGACCCGTAGCGCTTGGTTGATACTCAAAGCATTCTCCCTCACGAAACGCATAACGTCATCAATCGCAGCCCTTCGCATGTCAGTCCATGGGAGCTTTCGAGAGTGACTGCATTTGAGGATGAGTTGTAACTCTTCCCTAATTTTCGGAAGCCACCATTGGTCATCTCGCTCATAGTGGCAGCAAGAAAACCCTCATCAGCACACGGCATGCGAATGAAACATCTAACACGTTGAATGCCCAACATCCCTGAGGGCCGAAGTACTCCAATCATGCAGCAGGCCTGGTCGTTTCCAAGCCCAACAGTGGAAATGCCCAAAAGCGGCCTAGCGCTGCGATGCGCTGCGATACCAATGATACGTGTATCCTGAACGGTAACTTGTGCATTCCGCCTCAGTTCTCAATGTCCACTGACCTGCACCATGAAGGAGCTTTCTGTCGTTCATGGATTTGCTGTATTTTCTCTTTCATGGTCAAGAACTTGTTGAACAGCAGCGTCTTACAAATGGGCTGAAAAGCCAACTTGGCCAACATTATTCTTCTACAAATGTTTTCGCCATCACCACTCTCACATGGCTGTGAATCAAAAACACTGGTTTGTAATAGGCTTGGGCGGTCATTCCGCGACATAGGTTCGTGACAGAATGTCCTGGCTTGCGATAAGCACCTTTGCGACAAGGTTCTTTTGTAGGGCATACCTGCGTCAAGCATTCGCGACAAAGGTAGCGACAAAGGGGTATGTAACAGGGGGTGGGGTGGGGGCCTGCCACCAAACGGGGTTTTGATTCAAGGCCACATTAAACAATGCTGCCCAAATGGGTATACTTCTCAGTGATGACCACCTTGACAGTTTTGCCACTCTTAAGCTCATTCTCAAAGTGTGGCTTCGCAGTCGCAAGTCATTGCTTGCCCGCACTCCTGCTCCCTCTTCCATGGTACACGATCAGAACCTCAGTTTTGGAAAGAAAAAAGTTGGTTGGTTTCAACCCCCATCTTCTCCACCGCAGCCTGAGCATCAACAATGGCCCGCGCCTTTTCCACCACTTGCTGAAACCGCCATGCTAATGAGGACCACGGCATCATCAACTCAGTTAGCTATTGGGGGATCAACATTTGTCTCCCTTTCCATCGGTGGTGGCCGTTTATGTTTCTTTAGGGTTGAGGGTTGGGTGTTCTGGAGGGATCGGGATTCTTTGGGATTAGGTCTCCAAGCTTGGGCTCGCGCGGCAAAGGAACCACGTCACGATCTTGATTCACAGAAGCCCCGTAGCATTGTTTGAATCTGATGGTGCTTCCCAGGCCGCATATCAAGTCCTATGTGTTTGATCGCAAGGCCGCCAGATCAGAACAGCACGTCTTGTTTCAAATTCCCAGAGTGCCGCTCACACACTTGTACTGATATGTTTGAGGCTGCCAAGCTAATAAACCTGGAATGCTATTATTGCGAGGTCGCATTTGTCGGCGGTATTGACTTTGCAGAGAACCGGCAGGACACGCGTTTGCCCCAGTTTGCAGATATTGCGCTGTTGCTGTTGAACTGCAGCCTCGGAGTTGTTCGGAGTTGATTGGCCGGATTGGCCACAGTGCATGAGCGAAGGGCACGATAGGACAAGGGGCTCGTCATTGTATCCCAGTGTATGTCAGACGACCTTCTTCTCATTCTTTCTTTCCAGCAAGTGGCACGAGGATACAAATACCAACAAAGTAAGTCAGTGGATATGGGAAGGGATGGAAGGGATGTCTGGTTTGAGGTCTTTGGGCTTCGCGTCTCTCTTGCATTCCGTCCACTTGTAACGTTCCAGCGAGGCTGCCCCTTCCCATCCCGAGCTTGTCTGCCAAGCGATCCAGGGCTTTGCAACTTGCAACCTGAGATTTTCTCCACTTGCAAGTCGCTTGCACGTTTGAACCCAAGGAAGCTCAGCTCGGCAAGCATCCCCGTGAACCATTTTGGCATGGTTGAGCATTGCTTTCAGGCCGCAACATGTCCGCCCTGATCCGCGCCTCGTTCAGGCCTTGAGTGCCAGAAGCCCTTCGCTCTCAGACTTTCTTCCGTCTGGTTCAGGTAGCACGAGACCTGAATCATCCAACCGGAAACGAAAAGCCTTGGCAGGACGCGCTCAGGGGTTCAAGGCAGTCAGAGCTGAGCCACCAGACCCATGCTTACAGTACTGTTTAATTTAGGCTGTTGAAGCTACACCCTTTGAGGATGCAATGGTCAAGGCCCGTCTCCTCACGTTGCGATTGGCTGCTGCTGCAGACATGCAACTTGAGCTAGGGTTATGTCTACTACCTGAACCCACTTTGCATGCGGCTTGACCAGGTGGAGGGGCGAGCCGCTGAACAGGTTGCCATGATCATGGTGGAGCGCTGGTGGTGCGCGTCCATGATTTGACACAGCTTCGTTTGCTGTCATTCTCTAACAGCAGAAGGTCACCTCAGCTTTTACCTTGAGGTAGGCTTGTTTGCTTGCCGATGCTTGCGACATGTTGTGTTCCCGGAAGAAGGCTCACGGGCAGGTGCCAGGAAGGATCCACAGTAGATGAATGCCTACACGGGCCTACGGACAATGCCAGACTGGCCATCTGTGCAAGAGCAACAACAGCTCATGCAAAGCTTGAATTTGTGCTTTGATTGCACCGAACTATGGCCTGAGCTATGCGTTTAAGAGTTGGGACAGCCCTGCGCTCACATTTAACGCATGGCAGGACGTACTGCAGATCCATTGGACTGGCACGCGCTCAAGCGATGCGACCTGTATCAGCGAAGCCTGACCGCAAGATGTTGCAAGCCCATCATCGGTGACCTTGCAACAGCTGTCTGTCACTGCCGCGCTCAGGATCCTTGACAGTACGCTGTGGCAGGTACAGTGGCGTCATTTTCTTGTAGAGGCTGCTTCTCACATTATTTCCGAGGTGAAGGGTGCCCTACACAGCAGCCACTGGAAAGATTGGCAGTGCGGACAGCTCAGCCAGAGCATGCTTCATCTGATGTTGGTGAAGACTGCGGGCAAGAGTAAGGCGACCAGATGCCGAAAACCGGCGTTCTGGGAAAACTGCAGCTGCGCTATCAGGGGGGCTCCGCAGAGGAGCGCTACAACACATAGCGGAGATACAAGCAATGTATCAGGAAGCATTGCTGGGCCTGCTTTTGTGTTGAGATGTGTTGAAGGAGCGTGAGGTTCGAATTGAGACACCTCAGGCAGGGGAACACACATGCGACGATCCAGCTGTGCCCTTTTCGCCTGCAGATACAGAGCCAATACCTGGAACCAAATGCCGATAAGTCTTTAGCTCAGTTGTTTCAGAGCAAGCCGGTCTGGAGCGATGCCCTCATGATATAGGAGATATTGGGATGTGAGGTTCGTTACCATAAGAAGAGATGAGGCCAACGAGGCCGCATTACCAGATTTGTTGCTGAGCGTTGTAGCGATGTTGCCGTGCAAAGGTGGACGTTGTTGGCCTTCATGCTTTAGATGAGCAGGCAGGCCTCAATGCGTTGGATGCGATGCGAAGGTAGGCTTTTATGAAGATTGAGCCAGCTGACGCTTTCAGAACAGGTCCCAGAAAGCATTACAATCTCGATCGATGGCATCAGTCGCTCTGCAGCAAATTCAAAGCGACTTGCCATTTGTCAACGAGTATCAAAGAGACTCCAACACCGCCGCCAGCACTGGCAGTGGTGCTTGGACTTGGTGCATCCACCTGAGTTGGCCACGGCCACTTCTCTAGGCAATGATGAAGCGAGTTTGGGGCGGAAACAACTCAAAAGCCGACATCCGCATGACAATACAGCATGCTGTCCTGCTGAGAGCATGGACTAGAGAATCGTCGTGTGCTTTGTTGCCTTTGAGTTTTGGCGTGATCCTTGTAACTTTTCTTGTTGGTGCAGCGCAATCGGACGTGACCTCTTTGACATTCACAGAGTACGTGCACAATCTGTAAAGCGCCACCGGGCCACCATTGGGGCATCCCTTTCGCTGCAGTTCCTGCTGTCTCACAAACGTGTTTAGCACCATCCGCAAAGGGTATCGCGCTGAGGTCATATTCCAATTTGTTTGTTGCGATTCGCGTCTAAGTCACCTCAGCTACACCAGCTTCGTTTCTCCTTTCTCTCCCCGAGTCATGATTTTGCTGCCGACCTGTGGCTGGAACCGCTTCGCGTCTCCACCTGCGCTTCTCTGCTGACATGATGTCCACATGACAGCTAAAGCATGCAGAGGTACAACGTTACTTTACATTAGAGGGCGCCGAGGAATCCAGGTCTACTCAAGAAATAGCTACGAGCACTAACGCTGCTCTTGGCTCTGTGGTCTTTCCAGCTGCTGCCCCTTTCGCCACATGTCGCCACCAGTAATATTACATCACTGATCATGAGTCTCTCTCTCTCTCTCTCTCTACCTCTCTCTAGGGCGAAGAGCGCGTCCGAAGCTGGACCGCTTGTCAGCAGCCCACTAAAATGGAGAACCGATCAGAACTACCGAGGAAAAAATGCAAGCTTGCATCAGCTAGCTATATGCAGTGTAATGTACTGAAATTAAAACTAGCAGCGAAGGAGCTTGAAACTGAGAACTCGACTATCTTTGCGGAGGGAGCGTGGGCTATTCGTAGCTATTTCCGGGGGTGCGAAAAACTGGACCAGGGTAAAGTTTCCAGTCGTCGGCACAAAGCGCCGTAAAATGCCTTAAAACTAAGAGCAACCATCGGCCACGGACCATGGGTCATGGAGCTTAGCTCGCACGTGGCGACGTCCAACGTTTAGAGTGCTTACCCTTTGGACGCACTGCGTGGACCATGGGCCATGGAGCTTGGCTCGCAAATGGCGGCGTCTAACGGTCAGAGTGCTTACCCCCGGGACGCACTGCAGGGTTCGCGACCGCAATCCTCAGTACATGAAGTCCCCAAAGTTTGTAAGTGGCAGGAGAAATATAGCGCACAGAGCAGTCGCGGTCTCCCTCCCGGCTTGCCGGTGTTCCCCTTGCCTACAACTCACTCAAAACACTGGGCTAAGGGTCTCGGATTCTTCGGAAAACCGTTGAGTTGAAGGGTTTCCCCAAAAAGTTCCAGGGATTCAGCAGAGTTACAGGGTTTTGGAATGGTCTTCACTTCCTGCAAAAAGATGAGGTTTGCTGGTGAGCATTCAGCAGTTGGAAGGGTTTGCAGTTTGCATGCACAGCAGATATAGGGTAGAAGGGTCAGTACTTCTCGTAAATCTTACTGTGCGTTGCGCACGCCTCGTAGTCCTCGCGTGCACCTAGCTCCTATCGGATTTGAACAGCCAAGCCTGTGCAATTCGCACGGGAATTTTTGTCTAGACACTCTGTCAAAAACCTCAAGCTGCGAAACGTGCCGGAAACAACGATCCAAACTCCCAAAAAGGAAACAAGAAGGGTAGTGTCAGAAAGGAAGCTGCTGTAAGCAAACGCCTGCCGTTCGCAAGCTACTGTGCTACTGTACCGTATTCACACGCGCCGTGAGCTGGATCTGAGGGTTTAAGTGCGCCGTAAGCTTGTTGCATCAACAAGGGCCAGCGGCCAGCGTAAGCTAAACCCTGAGTTTCGAAAGCTGCCGGAAGCAAAGTCTTTACAGTGAAAATTACCAAGGTTGTGAGCCCCTCATTGAAGAGTATGGGGCGTAGGGTTTACAAAAGCATCGCAAGGATCTTTTCCAGCAGCCCAGGCTGCACCTTAGAATTCACAACGCAGAGGAACCTCCCACATATCTTGAGGTTCAAGGTTTTGAGGCTGCAGAGGGTAGGTTTCGAGGTTCAGCTCTTTTGCAGGGTTTTTGGGGGGTTGGAAGGCATTAGCTTGCGCAGAAGATCTAAACCCTGAACCTGGATACCCAAACCCCATACTTGTGAGTTTCCAAGCTGGGCTTGGGCTCATTTTTGGGAGTGAGAAATTGACCAACCCTCAAGCTTCGTGATACGACATTTTTTGCAAAATCTCCAGCATGCCTCCCTGCTCGAACTCACAAAAGCTCAATCCTTGCCTTGAACCCTCAACGAGGGCTGGTGACCACAAAGAAAGTATGAAACATTTAATGTGGCACCCTTTTTAATGATTGGGCCCCCCCCCCCGAACAATTACCATTCCTCTTTAATACAGCGGCCTCCCCTAAATTTGCCGC